TTACTTTGTAAACGGAGCTTCCATGGCCAACATTTGTAACAGTTCGATGAAAAGTAATGGTAAATGGCTCTTCTGGTTTGATAATCCTGGAAGCCATTGAAGGATAGTTAAGATCCCTAACAAATGATTTATTCTCAGGACAAGTGCTATTTCCCCCTGCTATTTGTCCGAGCCTCGAACCATAGCCCAAGTCACAAAGCATTTGTATGTAATCCTGTTCACGAGTTTCATATACAAGCCCAGGATCAGCAGATTGTAATGGATTGATATGACCAGATCCATAGGCGAGCTCAGCATCTGCATTGTTAGGAGGTGTCATTTGCCAGGCTACAATAGAAAAGGAAAAGTATTGTTAATTGGGCCACCAAAAAACACCAAATCCTGAAATTTACAAAGAAGAATGTAGTTCTGTAGATTGGGAAGTTAGGAGATAGAAGAAAACCAGTTGTCATTATAGCAGATTTGACAGCTGAAGGAGACCAATCAGGGTGAAAGGCTTTCACATAAGCAGCTACTCCAGAAGTATGGGGGCAAGACATGGAGGTGCCGGATAATATATTGTAATTTACACGACGATTATCCGAAGGATCACCTGAGGGTGAAGCAAGAGGTGAAAAAGCAGCTAAGATAGTTACCCCTGGAGCGGTTAAATCTGGCTGCGTTGCATTAAAGCTTCAAATTAATAAAACTCCAATACAGAAGAATGAAGAGACAAGAGCTCTGAGAGGTATAGACTATAGATGGTAACTACCTTTAAAATGTCTTCAGCAATAAGATTTGGCCCACGCGAAGAAAAGGAAGCCACAACAGGAGCATTTGTATCTTCTCTAGTCTCACTTTTCAGTATTTCTGCTACAGAGCTGTAAAACATGGATAAAGAATGACTTATCTGAAGGAAAGCTAGAAAGTAAATACATAAATGGCAAACAGTATTGCTATCCATACCCATTTGTTTGAAGATACGACTTGACTTTTTCGTAGTTATCAGGTACTAAAGCTGATGCTGGTAATGAAAAAACCGAAGTAATGTTCTCAGATACTATCATATCTTTAAGAACTGCTCCCACACCTCCAGCTTTCTGAACAACAGCAAATCCCTTCTTCTGATCACAGACAACAATTTTTCGCTTAACTAAATCACTATCCAAACATCCTTCCTCGCACATCCTGAAATTCATCAGAAGTAAAAGTTTCAAACTTCATTAGCATACTAATAGCAATCGACTAGCCCTGAAGTTGAAATGATTTATCTAAAACCTACCCTGCAGACTCAGGAGGGCAGTTCGAACTGACATCTTTTCCATAGATCAAATGATTTTTTTCTCCTTTTATACTAAAAGAATTAATTGATTTTCCCTGTTTGTAGCGAGCCAATCATTAACAAAAGTTCACAGAAAATCACACAGGTCAATAAGGAAGAGATTTATTGATACATACAACTAAAATCTCTCCATTTCCAAGAATAACTTTGTCGAAGAATGCACGATCAATGGTGCTTGCTGCAACAGTAAGAATCCATGGCGCTGTGCTAACCACTGAAAAACTGGCTGGACCAGAATTTCCTGCTGACTGTACTGTCAAAATTCCATTTGTCATTGCATGAAAAGCACCAATGGAAATAGCATCTTCGATCAGGTCATCCGGATTTGCTGGTCCTATTGAAATTGATATGACATCAACTCCATCAGCAATAGCATCGTCGAAAGCAGCCAAGATGGCCTGTGAGCTACACCCACTTTCATCGCAAACTTTATAGGCAGCAATCCTCGAAAATGGAACCCCTCCTGTTGCAGTACCTTGAGCCAGTCCGTAAAAACTTACATTCTTTACTGCATTCCCTGCTGCTGTAGATGCAGTATGAGATCCATGGCCATTACTATCCCTTGCAGAATCTGTGGTATAATACCGTGCTCCAATAAGCTTGCTGTAAGACAGAATTAACCTTCAAAAAAATTTTTAACCTTTGAAAAATCAGTTAATTTACTTCAGAAAATATAGGAGTCAAACTCACTGGTTGCAAGTGAAGTTGCTTCCACCATTACATGCACCCTTCCACTTCTTTGGAGCTGGACCAAGATCTCCATTACTGAAGCTTTCTGATTCAGGCCAGATTCCAGTGTCAATAACACCGATGATAACCTCACTCTCTTTTTTTGGATCGTGCAGCTTCTGATCAGTAGTTTCATTGAACCCCATGAAACCCCAAGATCTTGTTGTGTGGAGCTGATAAATTCTACTTGGAAAAACTGAAACTACTCCTTTCATTGCTGCAAAGATCAAAGTTTAAATATAAATGTTACACATACTGTCATCACCATGATTCAATCATGTTTTTGAATTTTTTTGGACAGAAAGGCATTTGCAACACTCACCGGCCAGCTTCTTTCTCTCAGAATCAGTGATCATGGCTGAAAATCCATTGAAACTCCTTCTGTAACTTCGAATCAATAGATTTTCTTCGAAGCTAGCAAAAGAAAAAAAAAATTAAAACATATAAATTTAAAGAAAGTAAAAAGAAATTACTAGAGTTAGATTGTAATCCAAAATAAAATGGCTAGACAAGCACACAAGCCATTACAAATTCTCATATTTGGTTGATGTAGTATTACATTTCTAGCACCCCTCAGACAGGGTGTACATAAGAGAACAAGCGCAGATAGAACCAAACTATGAAGTAGATAAGCTCAGATACCATGTTAAGTTCTAACCCAGAATTATATGATATTGGACAGAGTCACCCAACATATATATATATATATATATAGATGATTACAAATATGCAAGAAGTAAGATTCAAATATTTCACCTGGCCCCAACAACATCTTGGAGCATGGTAACATGGTGAGCTGCTGGAAAGTACTGGCCCTTAGGAAGTGATCCCATGTACACAATATGTGCCTACATCATCATCATCACCACCACCATCAATAGTAGTCTAAGTAACATTTTAGGTCATGTGTTATGAACGAAAGCGAAAAGAAAAAAAAAATCATACACACTTGCCGTTCTCTCCTCATTGTTGGCGCCATAAGAAAGGCTCATACAGACAACTAGAACAGAAAGAATGTAGAAAAACAGGACAAACCCTCCCTTAGCCATTGTTAAATGTTCTTTGTACAAAAGTACAGTGATTTATTGGTATTTATTTGATATTCATGATTAATGTGTTTCCTTTTTCTAATGATTCGTCCAACGGAAACACTTTAATTTCAAGATCTTACACTGTTATACAAGGGAAAAACTTGCTCAAATATTATTTCAATTGGATTATTTTCAAGATCATGTCTGGAGTAATAAAATAATCCCGAGGAAAAACTTAACTGCTAAGGTTCTTTGAGATCATCATCCTCAGAAATATTACTCCAAAGTAAGATCAGTTGATGTCAATAAAAATTTTTAGATACTTATCTTCCTCTCCTCATTAGTGGCACAACAAGATAGATTGATTCTATGATATCGGAGTGAAGGTATGAAAGAGGAGAAACCCTTTCTTGACCATTGTTGATTGTTCTGCAATAATGGGGTGATAGAAATGGCTTTTAATATCATTAATTTGTTTTTACGTTGCATTAATTTCTTTTATTCTCTATCTCCATTTAATCCTCTAAGGATCTGGAGCAATCAGTTTTTTTTTTGCCATTGTTATTGGTTCATGAATTGAGAAACTTTACAGTTTTTAATGATATTAAGATGTTACCTTCAACTGCAAATGATATTTTCCTTCCCTGATAGGCTGCAATCTACATAATACAGGGAAAAAAATTATGTCTGTTTAAAACCTGCTAAGAAAATTATGAAGTTGGCTTAACTTAAGTTCAAAAGTAGACAATATATTTAGAAGGAAGTGCTGCACGCATATCCAGCAAAATCAAATAAGGTTTATTGATAATCATTATACAGTGCACAAAAGGAGAATTTTCAGTGGTTTTTAAGGTCTGATAGCGGCAGTTAATATGAAAACAGTAGGTGGGAATTTCGAAATTGCCACTAAACTGACAATACAAAATTCATCAGAAGAAAACTAATTGAACAGTTTAGGAACTGCCACTATTTTTCGTAGAGTGATTGCTTCTTTTCAGTATTTTAGCATCAGTAATGAACTCTCTGCTAGTTGAAACAATAAATTGTAAGTCTCCAGCCCAAGAACTATCAGTTCAACAACTTTTTGAACCTAAAAATATTGATCTCAAAAGTTTAAACTCAAATTGTTGGTAATATGTGATATCTGACCTCGCATGCAGTGTGATAATCACATATCATACATTTTGACATGGATTAGAGTATCACAATCTCCATTACTAAAATCTTTAATATTCTTATCAAAAGCACATATCGCAATCACAAATTATAATCCAATATCCATAAAGTCCAACATGCTCCAAACTAGAGTTAACAAGCTAGTTGGTTTTCCAATACCCCAAGTCCGAGAATTACTGATCTAATAACTTTATGGATTCAAGCTACTGGCACTCAAAAGTTTAAATTCATGTTATTAGTAGTTTAACTTGATCCCTTAACTATATGGATTTCAACTATCACATATAATATTTTTTGAATGTGGTTGTAGTACCAAAACTTCTTAGTTCAAAATGTTTAATGCCGCTAAAAATTTAGACTAAGAAAAAAGATTGCACCAAATAACACAAATAACGTTAAAAGAGCAAATCAAAAAAGAGGAAAAGATTTACATAACTGCAAAATTAGCAAATAAAACAAGAAAAACAACATAAGACATTCAGCAATTTTGCAGTTCAAAATGTTAAATATAATGCAGAAACTAGTAAGTCACATGTTTTCTTTATGTAATCACATGCTCTTTTATGTTTTCAGTTTATCTAAATTAATTGTCCTAATCTTATGGATAGTGAGTAAGTGGTAGATATTTTAGGGATGTGTTTATCAGTATTTAGCTGCTGATTTTGTGGGTTTTTAGTTGCAACTTTGGTGTATAAAAATGGCTGGAAATAATAAAATTAGATCAGTTCTTCAGCATTTCTTTTTTCTGCTCACTACTTGTTTGATAAAAGTCCTGAATGAAGTCTCTAAGTTGTTGCTTTGCCTCTCTTGATTTTGCAATCAAGTAGAGAAGTTCCTTTGTTTATTCCTAACCAGTTTAAAGTTAACATCTGTTATCAGAACCAGTTTATTTAGGAGACAGCAAATAACTCCATGGGCATGAGTTCAACCCTTCCTTCACTACCATTGTTCAAAGGAAATGATTATGGAGTATAAAAATGAAGACTTTCTTCATTTCTCAGGACTTGTGGGAGCTGGTTGAGAATGGCTACAATGAAGCAGGTGTTTCAGCTGAAGTTCTTAAAAAATCCAAGAAGAAAGATGCTAAAGGTCTCTTTTTTATTCAACACGCTGTTGATGACAGCATCTTTTCACGAATCGCAGCTGCAGCAAGGTCACAAGATGCATGGAATACACTACAAATGGCCTATAGGGGGACTGTCAAGGTTCAATCCGTTAAAAATGGCCTATAGGGGGACTGTCAAGGTTCAATCCGTTAAATTGCAAACACTTAGAAGACAATTTGAGGAGTTCTCCATGAAGGATGGTGAGACTATGGAGACCTATTTTTGCAAAATACTGGAGGTTGTTATCCAAATACGTAAATATGGTGATCAACTATCGGAGCAAAAGGTTGTTGAGAAAGTGCTGCGAAGTCTTCCAAAGAAATATGATCACATAGTGGCTGCCATAGAAGAATCCAAAGATTTGAGTCAACTAACAACTCATGAATTGCTTGGCTCATTGCAATCTCATGAAGATAGGCTGAGCAAACGTGAAGAGCGTGATGCTGAAAATGCATTTCACAATAAAGATGCATTTTTCTAAAAATCCTAATGAGTCAAAGTAGTAAACAAGGGGGAGGTGGCTATGCTGGCCATGGACGAAGAGGAGGTAGAGGTGGTCAAGGTGGTGGACGTGGAAGCTATAATCGCAGCCAAGATACCAAGAATAATGGTGGAACCCAAAATCAGAAGCCACAATATTTTTATTGTAAGAAAATTGGTCATATTGAAAGGTTTTGTCGACTTAAAGTTGAACAAGCAAAATTTACGGAAGAGAAGGAAAAAGAAGATGAGATTGAAAGCTTGTTTATGGCTTATGTTGCTGGAAATAAAGGTTTGTCAAATATTTGGTATGTGGACAGCGGCTGCAGTAATAATTGACAGCAGATTTGAATGCTTTCATCAGCTTAGATAAGACAATCAAGAAGCGGGTGAAGATGGGAGATGGTATGCTTCGTGAAGCATGTGGAAAAGGGACTGTCAAGGTAAATTTTAATCATTTGAGCTACATTAAAGATGTTTTTTATGTACCTGATTTAGATTCAAACTTATTGAGTGTGAGGCAATTTCTAAGAGAAGGGTATGCACTTGTTTTTGAGGATATGACATGCTGTTTTTCTGATAAAACTAAGAAGCATTTGCTGTTCAAGATGTCTATGACTCGTAACAATATGTTTCCTCTCTATTTGGAGTGCAAAGATCAAGCACTTGCAGTCTCCTTGGATGATAATGATTGGTTATGGCACCACAGGTATGGGCATTTAAACTTTAACCGCTTGAAATCTTTGTCTAATCAAGCTTTGGTGGATGGTTTGTTGAAGAATAATTCAAAATTTGACCTTGTTTTTGTTTAAATTAGTTTGACCGAGTATGGTGGTAAGATGGAGTTTGTTTCCACTATTCAAGCTAGAAGCAGATAATAAATAGTCCGAGATATATGTTGGATAAGTTCTGATGTAAGCCTATATAAAAGGCACCTCTACGTAGTCTTTATGTATTCAATTTTTTTTCAGTAAGTTACATAACAAAACTAAGCTTCAGAACTTCATTTTACTCCTCTTCTTCCTTTGTTTGGTCAGTTTCACGTTACTTTTCCTCAACAAATTTGGTATCAGAGCTTTATTGGTCTTCGGGTTAGCAAGTGTGCCAGAGTTATATGAGAATGGCAGCAGCTGGATTTTCTTCTTCTCAACCACTCCTACCCATTTTCAATTGTGAGAAATATGAGTGGTGGAGTATCAAAATTAAGACGTTGCTCAGATCGCAAGAGCTATGGGATCTGGTAGAATATGGGTTTATTGAAATGTTTGAACCCAGTGAAGAAGAAGAGGTGAGACTGAAAGAAACCAGAAAGAGAGATGCCAAGGCATTGTTTATCCTACAACAAGCAGTCCACTATATTCTCACAGATTTCAGCAGCAAACACGTCAAAAGAAGCATGGTCAATTTTGCAGAAGGAATTTCAGAGCGATTCAAAGGTCATTGTTGCAAGCAATGAAACTTTCAAACCAGTTTTGGGCAGAAGCTATAGCAACATCCGTCTATGTATTGAATCTCTCACCAACAAGGGCTGTCTTGAATCAAACTCCATATGAAGCTTGGTATGGAAGGAAACCAAATGTAAGTCATTTACGAGTGTTTGGATGTGTTGCTTATGCTTTTGATAAATTCTCAAGCTCGTCAGATACTTTGATGAAAAATCAGTAAAAATGCATTTTTATTGGTTATTGTACTCAATCCAAGGCATATGGATTGTATACCCCTTAGTGACAAGATTTTGATAAGGGATGTAATATTTGATGAAAATGTGAGCTGGGATTGGAGTGAAGAGCAGATACAACAGGAGATTCCTATGTCCATTGAAGTTCCTTCAGATGAAAGACAAGAGTCAACTCCTACAAGTCCACAAGCTAGCAATGCAACAGCATCAGCAACTCTTGAAGAGTCTTCTGCAGTACCAATTCCATTAAGAAGATCAACAAGAGTTAGAAATCCAGATCTTAAATATGCTGATGACTTTTTTACTTCCTGTCAGTTTGCTCTTGCTGTTTCAGATCCTACATATTATGGAGAAGCAGCTGAAAAAGA